CCCGGCTCGGACAGTCTCGGTCGTTGTGTCCTTGGGCAAGACACTTCACCCACCTAAAAGTGCTATATAAATGCAATCCATTATTGTTATTCTTTGACATGTCATCATAGCTGGGGTAGGCTCAAACCACCCAAAAATGCAGTAAAGCTTACTGGTTTTTCCAATAAGAAATTATTGAACCAACTCTCCAACATATCTGTCCATGGTTTCAAGATGAAGTGCAAACTTTTCTTTTACTGCTACAGAAAAGAGGCAAGTAAAGTGAAAAGTTTGAACTGGCATTCATGTTCACTAAGAAACTATAATTTGATCAGACTGGTCAGTCATAATGTCTCTGTGGACATCAGTATTCCTGCTAAATCCTGCTGGAGTGGCTGTAGCTCAGGTTGGTGATTCAATCCCTTGCTGCTCCAGTCTGTATGGCAAATATCCTTGCCAATTTGCTCCCTGATGCATCCATCAGGGTGTGAATATGTGCATAGAAAAAAGTGTTTGTGTGAATGCGTGAAAGAGTCATGCTGTGTAAAGTACTTTGAGTCCTAGAGTAGACTAACAACATCCATCCTGTTATTTACACTTACAAAGATGTTTGATTTTGTTCAAAAACTACAATTACCTTCCTGTGTTTCCCCCAGATGCTCCAAAGTCTCCCTCAGCGTGAGTAAATCTGTCTGGTAAACCCAGGAGAACATTTCAGTGACTCTGACCTGTGGCAGTGATGCTAACCCGGTCTGCTGATTCTGGAGAGCATGACTGTGTAGCTGAGAACAAATTTGTGCCGTCAACACCTAAACACGTTTCTATTGATGTGAAACATGAGAGAATCAGGTTGAGAGAAAAATGCTTCATGTTTACTTAATTAACACGTGAGGTGTCAAAATATATACAGAAACTTATTATATACACTCGAATCTCACCACATTCTTATCATATATACAATTATCATTGTATCTGTTATTTTTATTTGTGCTAACACATTATCTGAACTGCTTTTCTGCTCAATTGCACATTAAAAATATATTGTTATATATTTCATTCTTATTAGTTCATCTTGTCCATTCGTCTGTCCACAATTGATAAGAATCACTACTTCTCCTGGAATATTGATCAGATATAACCTATTGATTTTTGCTTTTTCATTCCATTTCTCTGGATTATTGCAATTATCTAATAATTGGAAAACAAATTATTGTTTTAGGTGTTTTTGTATTTACATTTCCTTTAATCCATAGGTTGTGTTTAAAGCTCTCTTTGTGCTCTGCAAATACATTACTGACATCATAATTCAAATTAATACAAAGAAACCAATTAATCAAACATAAAACTGAATCGAGTCACCCTTCTTTATGTTTTGTATTCTGAAGTGCAGATATTCATATAAGGAAGACCTTTACGGAGTTCCTTCTGTGATTACATTGAAGCAAAATGTTGTTAGTTTAGAATTAGCGAATATTACCTTTTTTTTCTTTGTCATGTAAAACCACAGTAAAGGGATTCATCTGTCATTTTGCTGAACTTTAGTGTAAATGTACATGTAAAACCTAACCAGCTGCCTCTGACTGTCACTGTCATTTTTTTACTGTCATTAAAGGAAAACAAATAAACAAAAATTTAGAGGACTTATATCCGAGTAATACTTGATTATCCAATCATCTCTGTGTTATCATATTGTCAGTGTGTGACTGTGGGTAAAAGCATATAAGTGAGCAGAATACAGTGATCTCCTCACGTCTTTGATGGGAGGGACAAAAGGACTGAGGTCAAGAAATAAAATGGGAAATATAAACAGATAAACAGAACTGAAATAAATGTTATAAATTACGCATTAAATAATAGCCTTATTTCAGTGAGTTAATGGTAATGTTGTTATGTTATTGAAAATGTTCTCACCTGCAGGTCTTCCAAATGCTGTGCAATCCAGCTGAAACACAACAAATATCTCATTCATGTGAGTCATTGTTGGAGTAGTTTGACTATTCAGTGCATGTGCCACTTTCTTGAAAAAATAACTTAATATCAGTGACAAAGTCAATGTTCCACATGTCCCACCACAGCTTGGGAGGATGGAAAGTATTTTAATAATGATCATTTGTGGGTTAGATGAGTCTGCCACGCTGCAGTTCACCAGATGTGCACAGACTTTAAACTGTTAGCAGTCGGACGTACCGCCCACGGGACATTGGATGGTTTAGGGGACTAATAGGACTGCTAAGGGGTTAAAATACAGTCACTGCAGCTCAAGGTTAGTCATGAGTGTGTATACTCAGATTATGTTATGCCCTTTTGCATCAAGTCTGCATCAGCTGTGTTCCCTTTGTTTGGTTATTTGTTGTTCAGTTTTGGTGACCTGTGTGTTTAGTTTTCAGTTTACTTTCCATGTCTGTTTTTATGGTATTAGGTTCAGCTTTGTTCCCCTCATGTTTACTCTTCCTGCATTACCTTGTGTATTTATTGATTTTGTTTCCCTTCGCCCTCTGTTGAGTTGTCCCACTAGCTCTGCTGTTCCAAATTTTTCCCCTGTGCTTCCTCGTGCCTTATGGATTTCTTGTTGCCTGTTTCTGGACTACCTGTACTTGTTCTTTTCTTGGAATAAACACTGAGGGTTAAAGTATGTTCAACCTTCATCTACCACATCCTGCATTCATTCACCATACCGCACACAGCACCTGATAATCATTTTAAAACACATCCTATTATTTATAATACAGTTGATTTAAAATTATTTCATCTCCATAAAAATACAAGAACAGACACATACAAGTAAAGTATTAATAGATTAACAAAAACAAAATAAAGGATGAAGATTTGATGCTTTGAATTAGAAATATAATAGGAGATGCTTCTTTCCCCTGCACCATACGTTCAGAAGTTCAGAACATCCTGTCTCAGTGACACTATTGAAATCCATGTTAATTTTTGGATAAAATTCTAGGCTTGCTTGTTATCGGCTCTTCTGAAAACATTAAGCTGATCCAAAACATTTCAAACTAGAGTACTACAGTTACTAGACCACCTATATTAGCATCTCATCTTTGGCTTCCTGTATTTCTTTCTTTCTTGGATTCAAAATTGTGATTCTATAAATTCTATATCCTGAATGATCAGACCCCATATCTTTTTAAAAGACCTCATAGCACCACATTATTCCAATATTGTATGTAAACATGGGCTCCTCTAGCAAACCAGTTCAAATTTAATAGTTAAGTCAAGAGAA